AAATAAATAAATAATAAATAAATAAATAAAATAAAAAATCACGAGTGGATGATAAAGTGTGTAGAAACTGAAAATTTACAATTTAAAACCTGGAATCGCTGACTGTTCAGAAACTACACAGATGGATCATGGGTGGTGGTGAACAGCAGAAAGGGTTATGGATGAAGCTGCATTGTTCTAGCTGCTCCCCATGCCACCCGTCTCCGAGGAAAGCCTGACATTGATTAGATATCGAGCCAGGCTAATGCTGGCAGCAGATCTAGTGATGGTAACCTGCCTATCAGTAGATCCTTCCACTGGGTTCGCAATTTTGATCTGTGCCCCAGACATCTGACGGATCTCATCAATTTTGGCACCTTGACAGCCAATTATGCAGCCAATCAAATCGTTTCAAATGGTGAGTTCATGAGAAGTAGTCTGAGCAGATGCATCCAAACCCCAATAGCCTTTCACCTCTGGAGAGCTGGATTCAATGCCACTGAATCCGGTGTTGCCATGCATCATGGGAAAATGAGACTGTTGCATTGCCAACTGGTGCAGCTTGGTCAAATCTGGCTGTGGAATGGCATACTGTCCTTGAATGGTATAGGCCTCTAGAGGTGGTCCCTCCAGGGCAGGGTTGAGGCACACGGATGAGGTGGTGTGGGGAAAGCTCGCACTGTCGCTGCCTGTGCTGTACCTGTCCTGACCACCTGCAAAGAGGACTGGAGAACTTGATGGCTTGGGCCGGTTCGGGGCGGTCACGCCCTTCAGGGGGACTCCAACATGACCACGCAGATCTGTTTGACACACTCAATGATGGATTGCGGGATGCCAGCAATAGTGATGGCCCACTCAGTTGAATTGGGGAGCGTATCTCCTGCCACTTGGACCTGAGCCCCTGTACTCTCTTGTATTTCCTTGATCTTGCAACCACCTTTCCCAGTGAGAGAGCCACACTGACTAGCAAGGACCACCAGCCTCAGAGTGACCGGGGGTCTATTGGCAACTGTGCTATTGGTCATAGAGCTGCTGATGTCCTCTTCCAGTTTGTCAATGATCATAGCAAAGGCTTTGAAGATGGCATTAGTGGGTCCAGCCAAAGTGATAATTCGCTCAGGACAATTCCCTTCTGAGATGCTGACACGTGCACCACTCTCCTCACGCATCTTAACTGATTCTCCTTTCTTTCCAATGATACTGCCAACTTCCTTCCCATGCATAAGTAGCTGGATGGTGAGAGTGACATTTAATCTACCTTCAATCATACCGGTGTCCATGTCGAATACTATCCGGAGCTGGACTTTTTGAGTGCTCAAGTCTTTGGTCACTGGGGGAGAGGGGGGTCAAAGCCAAAAACTGCAGGCGCGCGAGGCGACTGAGGGGAAAAGGGGAAGGGGGAGGGGAAGGGTGGGAGGACGAGGGCGGAACAATAGGGGCGGGCGGAAAGGCAAGGGGGGCCCCCACGCGAGCGGGTTGGAGGAGGAAGGGGTGGGGGGAGTGGAGGAGGAGGAAGAGGAAGGGGGACAGAGACCCCGGAGCGGGTGGAGGGCGGCGGAGGGCGGGCGGGAGAGGGCGCAGGCTGCAGCTGCTCCGGCTACTGCCTCTGCTGGTCTGCCGGGAGCTCTGGTTCTACTTTGAGTGTTGCTTCCTGACTTCAGTTCAGATCCTTCAGCCTACTAGCACAGACTTTATCATGCTGGCACAGACTTTTTACGTTCCACCACGGATCTCTGGGCCTTACCAGCACAGATCCATGAGACAGGCCTACATGAAATATTTTCATGGGCTCTAATCCTCCAGTCATACTTGTGTGAGGTATTGTTATAGGCGTTAGGTCTTCAGTAGGACTCATGTAGGACATTGCCATGGGATTTAGGCCCTCAGATGGATACTTTGGTCCTTTAGAGTAGAGAGCTGAAGCAGATAGAAGTCAAGCTGACCTGCCCAAACCAGTTGGAAACCACAGGTCATCTGGTGAAAGATGGAAATTGAGTGCAGATTCTAAGAGTTCTTTGTCCTATGTCCACCCACTAGTGTAGTAGCATAGCCATATTTTAGCACTAAAGAGTACATTAAGTACAAAACATACAGATCTCTCAGATAAAAATAGAAAAATCAACAGAACGGCATCAAGGGGCATGTTAGTTAAAGAGATAGGCATTAACCACACATGTGTAAGCAAGAAAACACGCTGAGAAAGGCTGGAATCATCAGGGCAGTGCAAAGAAACATACCAGGCAATCTGTTCTTTGTATCGGGAATCGAACTGAGGATCTTGCACTTGCCAGGCAGGCACTGTGCTGCTGAGCTATATCCCTGGTCCCAGACCATACAATCTTGAGAATAGTTTAGGGAAATGTACACTAAGAACTCATTCAGGTAGTAACCAACTCAAAGGCCTTTGATTTCTAAATAGAAGAAAAGTTAAAAAGAAATAGTGGAAAAATCCAACCACTCAGTCTAAACTTTATTTGGTCTTTATGAGACAGGGTGTTACTCTGTAGTTCGAGCTGACCTTGAACTCACTCTGTAGCTCATCCTGACCTTAAATGTGTGGCAATCCGCCTGCCTTAACCTCCTGAGTGCTGGTAAAACAGGTATGTGCCACCATGTCCAACCATTTAGTCTAAATTTAAACTGGGAGTGACAATAATGTTCATTCACAATGGAAGGCCAGTAATATTTGTAGTAAAACTACTGAAAGTTTGTTAGTAATATTCTACTTGCGTATCTCTTTTTTTTTGTGGAACTTGGGATTGAACTCAGGCCCTTGCACTTGTCTTATTCAACTGAGCCATCTCCCCAGCCCCTGGTTTTGTCTTTGAGACAGGGTCTCACTATGTAGTTCAGACTAGTATTGAAATCACTATGTAGCCTAGGCTGACCTTGAACTTGTGATGACCCTCCTGCCTTAGCCTTCCTAAGTGCCAGGATTATAGGTGTGTGTAACGATGTGTACCATTTTAAAAGAAACAAAAAGGGCCAGAGAGATAGCACAGTGGACTAAACACCTGCTTAGGCAAGTACAAGCCTGGCTGCAATGGCCCCACACCCCAGATGCACTGAGCTGGCCACTGAGTTGGGACATGTTGGTACACACCTGTAATCCCAGTGCTGGGGAGGCTGAAAACAGGTGAATCACTATGAGTCCGAGCTGCCTAGTGAGACCCTGTACCACATACATAAAAGAAACAAGAAAATAAATAACTGCAGTAAAGCATTAATGTCAGGGTAGATTTATTAGAGCTAGTTCAAATTTTAGAGTGATACATTGACCTCAGAATTTTTTTTATGTTTTTGAGACTGGATCTTGCTATGCAGTTCAGGCTGGGCTTAAGCTCACTTTGTAGCCTAGTGATCCTCCTGCCTCAGCCTCTTGAGTGCTAGGATTACAGGTATGTGCCACTATGCTTAGGTCTGGGTATTGTTATTGGTGCTTTGTGTGTGTGTGTGTGTGTGTGTGTGTGTGTGTGTGGCTTTGAACTCACTATGTAGCCCAGGTGGCCTGTAACTCATGGTGATCCATATGCCTCAGGCTTGGGAGTACTGGAATTACAGGTAAGCGGCACCTCACCTGATTTATTACAACTTTTATAATTTATTTATTTGGTACAGGGTTTGCTAAGCAGTCTACACTCACAGGGATCCTCCTGTTTCAGCCTTCCCAGCGCTGGGATTATAGGCGTGCACTACTAGCCTTGTTTTGAGGCCTGCATAGTGCGCCTGGGATTCTGGGGGCAGCAGAGTATGCAATACCACAGATCGAACCCAGGTCCTTGCACTTGCCAGGCAGGCCCTTAGACCACTGAGCCATCATCTCAGCCTATTGTAACTTTCATAATGGTGTAAAATGGCACCAGACTTCAACTTCTGTTTCTCTAACACAAAGGATACAGCACATCTCATATGCCTCTTATCTCTTTTATATCACCCTTGATGAAATGTCTATTCCAATCCTTTGCCCATTTAGTTAATTGCCATTCTCTACTTTTCATTGATTTAAAAATAGCTGTTTCACTATGCACATTCCATACAATTCACCCATTTCAGTAGCCTGGGTCTATTAACGCTGTTTTTAAAAAGTGAAGAGAAATATGTTAAAATATATGGCAGGCGATTGTTTTGCCGGAAGCTTCTAACTGGGCCCAGCAAAGCAGGTCAAAGGAGAATGGGGTCACCCACAGAAGCCCAATCATCATACAGAGAGTCCAAGAAGACTTAGAAGACCGCGGGGCAGCCGGGCTCACGAGGATGGGAGCGATGCTGACCTCCGGGTCATACTGGTCAAAGTCTAATTTGATCTCTAGACTCAACTTGCTGAAATTCCATCCTTTTCTCAGGCATGCAAACCACAGCATCAGGCGTCTTTGCGCCGGGCGTAGTCTCTTCTTCTGCTAGCCGAAATAAAAGCGCTTCTGATATTTTTTCCCCCTAAAAACACTTAAATGTCAGCCCTCTGGCCGACTTGGAACCCACAAGATTCCCTGCTAGGTTTCCGCGGCAACCTGGGGCCGCGAACCACAGAGAAGGAACCTCCAGCGTTCCTAGAGCGGACCGGAAGTGGCTCTGGCTTCCTTCCTCAGATCGCGCCCGCTTCCGGCAGCTGCGGTGCAGTTGTGGATCGCTTTTACTAGGTGCGGAGTTTGTCAGAATTTTGGGGTTGTGGGGGTCGTAGAATTGTTCTGTCAGACACAGAGAGCGGGCCAGGTAACGGAGGGAGGCGGTGAAGATCAGAGCGGGTCCTGGGGATCCCAGGGAGGCCGCCTGACGTCTGGGCTTTGGTCCTCGCTGTCGGCCACCTTTCCTGGGCGCCGTTCTATGGGCCACTTAGCTTCCGTCCCAGGAAAGCTGCGTGGTCCCTCTCATAGTGTCACCGCCGCCCGTGCTGCTGTAACGCGGCCCCTTCGGTGCGGAAACTACGCCGGTCTGTGGGAGTCGGGGCTCTGGGGCTCTCGTTCTTGTCTAGGCATTTGCATACTGTGAGAATTGAGTGCGGGGCCGGGGTCTCTGCTGTATCCTGGTCCCACTCCTTTTCTCTCATCTCCTAGTTCATTCGTACAAATGTTACTTATTTAAGGGACTTATGTGTGGTCTTCTTCCCTACCCACTCCCCTGCTAACTCCTCATCTCAGTTGTCACCTCCTTTGGGGATATCAGGCCCCTTTGCTACGTTCCCAGGGCCACCTACCTAGTGCCACCACATCTACTCTCATTGATCTTTCACACGCGACCACATGAGCCGTCATTTGCTAGTCTTGAAGCCCAAGGAAGTGAAGTCACTGGCCTTTTTTCTTTCCTCTCCCTCCAGGCAGCTGAGGTTGGGACTTCTCTACTGGGCTGATCAAGGAGGAAGGAGCAGTGATGTCTACCTTAGGGGCTGCAGCTCTGTACCTGCATCATCCTGCTGACAGTCACAGTGGCCGGGTCAGTTTCCTGGGGGCCCAGCTCCCCCCACAGGTGGCAGCAATGGCCCGGCTCCTAGAGGACCTGGACAGAAGCATGTTTAGAAAATTGCTGAAGCTTGTGGTTAGCAACCTTCAGGGGGAGGATTGCCAAGAGGCTGTACAACGCCTTGGTGCCAGTGCCAGCCTCTCAGAGGAGCGGCTGGGTGCCCTGCTTGCAGGAACACACACATTGCTCCAGCAGGCCCTCCGGCTGCCCCCCACCAGCCTGAAACCTGACTCCTTTAGGGACCAACTCCAGGAGCTTGGTATTCCCCAAGACCTGGTTGAAGACTTAGCCAGTGTGGTATTTGGGGCCCAGCGCCCCTTCCTTGACTCTGTGGCTGGGCAGCAGAGGGCCTGGCTGCCCCACCTTGCTGACTTTCGGTGGCGGGTAGATGTGGCTATCTCCACAAGTGCCCTGGCCCGATCCCTGCAACCGAGTGTCCTGATGCAGCTCAAGCTTTCAGATGGGTCAGCGTACCGTTTTGAGGTCCCCACGGCCAAGTTCCAGGAGCTGCGGTACAGTGTTGCTTTGGTCCTAAAGGAGATGGCAGATCTGGAGAAGAAGTGTGAGCGCAGACTGCAGGACTGAACCCTTACCCAGCCGGTGCTGCAGTCTGGGAGCAGCTTCTCCTTTCCATGAAGCAGGCTCTTGAGTGAATGAATGTAAGGATGGAATTTTCTGTTTAAATGAAAACAGTTGTGCCTTTTTTCTTATAGAAGTAAAAACAACTATTAAAAACATGTTTCTCTATGTGGATGTTAAACTACACACCTGTCCCTTCTGTGGCTGTTGGTCCGTGTTGTTGGGTTTGCCCAACTCGGGCCAGGTGGAGGTCTAGGGGCTGGGTCATGACCTCTGAAGATACCATGAAGTTATACAGCCTGGCCTTCCAAAGCATCTAAGCCCTCCCAGCTCATTGTTTTTTGAATCCTGTATTTTGGTGTAGGTGTGTTTTTTGTTTTTTTTTTTTTGCAAACAAAATTTCAGGGCTTTATTGTTTTACAGATCCTTTTCTAACTTTACTGTCATTAAACTGATAAAATAGCTACTTTAAAAAAAAATGTATTTGGTTGTTACAGGGTCTCACTAGGCAGCTCAGACTCATAGTGACCCTCCTGTTTTCAGCCTCCCCAGCACTGGGATTACAGGCGTGCACCACTACGCCTGGACTTATAACCACATTATTGCCATTTTAAAAATCAAAACAGTACAAGAAGCAAAAGCCCTCTGTACTAAATGGCATACTCCTGACTCATATTTCTTCTCGTCAGCTACTAGCCTTTTGGAGCTTCTGTATGGTTTTGTTCAGGTGGTCTCTTTTTTACAAAGGGTTTTTCTTTGGGCAGCATTGTTCTGTGACTCTTATTTTTTCTAATTTTATTAGTACATGTTTGCAGTGCATATTGATTCCATTCAGTTGGGATTTGACACATATACATAACACATCCTGAGTCACTTTTTTTTGTTTTTTGGTGTTGGGGATCAAACTCAGGACTTTGCGCTAGCCATGCAGGTGCTTAAGCCACTGAGCTATCTCCCCAGCCTTGATTCTTTTTATATCTTTACCCCTTACTCCTCCTCCTCCCTTCCCCTTCCTCCATGTGTTGGTCTTCTTCCAATTTGCAAAAGGTCTGTCTCCCTGTTTCCTATTATTGGTGTGGATATTTTCATTCTTCTGTCTTAAATCCCTACCCTTGTGAAGCTGACAACCTAGTGCGGTGAGGAAAGGAGGAAATGTTGCAAAATGCATAATAAATTACAGCTTGCTAGAGGATGGTGACACTAAATAGAGCAGGGTTAGGTGCTGGGGTGTGGGGTTTTGGGGAAGGGGAGGCCACCATTATAAATGGATCATGATGTGGCTTTCTTGAGGGCTTTTATTTACCTATTTATTTTTGAAATGAGGTCTTGCTATGTAGTTCAAGCTGGCCTTGAAGTCACTGTATATCCGGATTGGCCTCAAACTCTAAGCAGTCTTCCTGCCTCAGCCTCCCGAGTGCTGGGATTACAGCCATGCAGTGCCTGAGGATCATGATGCACTCAGCAGAGTGCGCACCTGGCGGACAGGCTGCCAGTGGAGGGAAAATCTTCTTGGTGGTTGTGCAGGGCGATAAAATTGAGGAGGGAAGAGAGGTCCAGGCCTGAGGGACCTTAAATGACAAGCCAATGGGGCTTGTTGAGGGTTTTCAGTGAAAGAAGTGTGCCCTCTGATGATTGTTTAAAAAGAGGAACACTGGTTATGTTAAGAACGTGTGTAGGACACAGGAAGTTGGGAGCTCAATAGAGGGGATGTTGCCAGGTGCACTTAGCAGCTGACAACCAGTAAAGAGGTTGGGAACTGTGGCTAACTTCACAGCTTCCAGTGTAACTGTGCTTCCTGCGGCAGGCTTTGGGTTCTCTGTGCAGAGCTGTTGGGCAGCTTCCCTTAGGGTATCCCTGCGTCTTGTACTTTTCTGATCCACCTCCATTCTGTTCTGTGCCAGAAGATGAGATTACAAATCTCAAGGGACAAATATACCAGAGATACTTACAGACATAGCTAATGAGCTTTGGTGCCCACCCTGATGTCCTGCTGTGCCTGTGTCGGTGCCTGCCTCATGCCAGCCCCACTACCTGCACTTGATATTGGCAGAATGCTTTGGCTCCCACCTTCAGCTAAGGTCCTTTTTTCCTGAGTGAGGCCCATGGCCGTGGCAAGTTAGGTGTGGTCCATAAGCAAGGAAAGGAGGCTGCCCTTCAAGGAGAACTTCCAGAGAGGATACTGTGGTCTTGGAGCTGGAGGGTTTGGAGGCTGAGCCAAGGATGTGGCTGAGGCCTGGCTCATTGGAGGAGTGCCTTACCTTTTAGCCTCAGCTAGGGTCCTCAGGTCATTTGCGCCAGGACCTTTAGTCCATCCTGGAAGCAACAAGGAGACCCAGAACTGCCAAAGGATGTGCAGATAAACAAAGTGCCTATGTCTGCCGTACGCAGGAGGGAAGGTTTCACGTTGTGCACTTCTGTTCCCATCACTGAAGGTGTTTAGGGACTAAGTACTCATAACACATTTGGAAAAAGCCAAAAATGCAAAAATAAATTTTCTAAAATAAAAAATTCCCTTTGCCCACAGATAGTATTAAGATTATGCCTGTAATCCCAGCACTTGGAAGGCTGAAACAGGAGGATCAGTATGAGTCCTATCTGTGTAATGTGACCCTATAAACCCTGTACTAAAATAAATTAAAAAAAAAAAAGATTTTTGACCTCCCTAGACTTTCCACTACCGTCTGTTTTCCTCTAGTCACACAATGCTGTTACTTAGCTTTTCTTGAGCAAACCAGTCGTGCTTAGTGGATGTAAAACACTCCACCCATGCGGGGTGATACTTTACTAGAACATTTCCTCAATAGGGCTTCCTGGTGCTTTCTCTTGGGTTCCCCCTCCAAGTTTTCAAAATTACAGCAATGTATGTGCTGGTAATTCTAGCACCCTGAAAGGCCGAGTCAAGAAGATTGTAAGTCTGAGTACAATTTAGACAATTTAGCAAGACTTGACTCAAAAACTAAAAGAGTGGGGGTGTAACTTGATGCAGATGCCCTAGTTCAATCCCCAGTCCTGCAAAATTAAAATTTAAAAAATCATACCAATGTTAGTGGACAAAATATTTTGTATTAAAGCTATATTTTGGGAGTCAGGTATTGTGGCAGCGTGCCTATAATCCCGGCACTGAGAGGTTGAGGTAGGCCAGGCTGGACTAATCAGCAAAGCAAAACAAAAATTTTGCTCCTACAAAACAAAAATTTTAAACCTGCTTTTAGTTCATCTTCCTTGTGAGCCCAGCATTTTACCTTCATCTTTACATTGGCAGTTTGGGAGCACTCTGAGGGGCATGCCTGCAGGTGCCACTTGATTCATTGTCCCTCCGCTTCTGCCCTGCCACAAACACTGAACATTCTTGTCCTCAGGTTGGGAACTAGGGGCAGCCCCAGCCTATAGACTCCATCCTCAGTAGGCCTGGCTATCTTGGGTTACAAAGCCATTATGGTGCTGCCCTCCCCCATGCTTACTGCACGCCCTGCAGGAACAGTGGTTTTGGAGACAGCCCAGCCCTTCCACTTCCCCAGCTACCTGCGGACTTGGGGTTGAGCTCTTGTCATCTGTGTTGGAAATCCTGGGTTTGCCGGAGCTCATCTGTAAGTCCTTGGAGTTGTCTTAAATGGTGATACATGCTAAGTAAAGGTATAGATGATAAGTGCTTTGTGGGGGACATACAGAGGGTAGGGTGTGTGGACCATGGGATGTTCCTGGAACCTGATGGGCCCTGAGGGCAGGCACAGCAGCCATCCTCAAGGCCATAAGCAGGATTTGGTCTTACTGTAGGAGCAGGGAAAGCCCTGGTATTTCATTCAGGACAGATACACACATGTTAGATTCCCAACGATCACTGCAGCATGGACAGACTTGGAAGCCAGCAGAGTAGCCCTGCTTCCTCTAACTCAAAGGCCAGAAAGTATTTTGGGTACTCTCAGCTCTGCCATTAAAGCCCAGGAGCAGATGATGCCCGAACAGCTGATGTGGCCTTTTCAATAACACTTCATTAACACTGAAATTTGAATTTTATGGGCCATATCTTCCCAGTATTAAAAAGCATCCTTAACTCCAGACAGTGGCATAGCTGTGGAGTGGGGTTGGGGTTGCGGTCTAACCTGGGCTGCAGTTTTTGCCTTCGAGAAACCTCCAGAACCAGAGAAAATAGGTGGCAGGTGGATGGTAGCTCTAACTGCTTCACTTCCTTCAGCCATACCTTCCGGAAACCCCAAGATGAAGACTCTACCCCCTCTAGTCAAGACTTAAATTAGTCCCTCTGGTTAGGTTTGTCTTGCAAGGGGGCCATGAAGTGTTTTATCAGGGATGGGACTGTTTCTGACCCAAATATTGTTCATAATAATCGGGATTGATATCAAAGGTCAGTAGCTTTTGTGCAGGTTACAGCAGGTGACAGATGGAAGTGAGGCCTGTGGGTCCTCACTGTGGGTCATGCTACATGACCAGGACCTTGGGAGAAAAGGCCAGTACTGGCCTTGTCCTCATTCTACCTTTCTGCCGTGTGTGTGTGTGTGTGTGTGTGTGTGTGTGTGTGTGTGTGTTGGAGGAGGAGGAGCCACTGATGGTTTAGGAGTCAAATCCTAGTGGCCCCAGTTTGTGTTGATCAGATTAACCAGAGTGACTGCTAGAGCAAGATTCAAGTAAAAACTCTATTTCAGCCTCCAAATTGCCGAGGCCAAGGCAGAGCATAGTAATCTGCTACAGGCTCAAACTCCTTACACTGTCTTATTGTGTGAATCAAGATTGTGTAAGACCCTGAAGGTGCTGTCTGTGATCATCTCTCAAGATTGTGTTGGCAGGAAAAAAAGGCCTGAGGGCTGAGGCAGCGCCCTAAGATCCCAGCAAAGCAGGTCTGGCCTCCCACCATTCTCATTAACTACTATATATGGTACACCATCACATGAGTTTCAGAAAGATAAAGCCTGAGTCATTCTGCAAGAACCTAGACCTTATGCATGGCTTAAGAACCCCAGTGTGTCACCTGGGTTGTTTCTGTGCTCCTCTGAAGTGAATACACACCCACGTCTAACTACACAGAAGCCCAGCTGTCTCTCAAGTGGAAGGGTTGGACGCTGGGGGCTCCAATGAGGGATGGATTTTTTAAAAAGGCATCATCAAGTGGAGTAGGTAAAAGTGAACTCTGGACATTTTGCTTCTGAACATGAGCAAAAAAATTCCTTAAAGTTAAAGCCACTTTTAAGCCACTCATCACCAAATGAAAACTTTTTTTGTTGTTGTTGTACTTGGGATTGCTTGATTACTAGGCCTTTTTTATTTACCAGTGGTGTCTTTCTAAGTTGCCAAGTGGCCCCAAATGAGCTTGGACTTGTAATCTTCCTGCATCATTTTCCCAGAGAACTGGGATCACAGTTCTCTGAGATCATCATTCTCAGCTTAAGACTTACTACACTCAGCTTAATTCGTCCTGAAGTCTGTACTGGTCACAATCCTGCAGTGGGCATATCCAGCCCTCCACATCTTCCCAGCCTGGAATGCTGTATTTACAGGGCCACTTTCAAATCATGTGCAACAACCTTCATGATGTTACTTTCTCAAGGCTTTGGTTCATGGCTTAAGCCTAGCGGAGTTTATTTAGGGCAACGAGATCATTCTAGGGTTCATTTGCGGTTTCCTTTTGTCATCCACCTCACGCTGCCTCCTCGATTGTACCAAGAGCTCCTTCAAAACCGTTCTACTGCGATAAGGGCGATTGAACCCAGGGCTTTCATACTAAGCTGCATCCCCAGTCCAGTCCTCTGCCCCCACCCCATTCCCCCATCCTCCATCCTCCAGCTGCCCTGTCCTGCTCAGCCTCCCGCAATACTAGAATAACAGGGCCACCACATCCAGGTTTAAAACTGTTTTATTGGAACGTCTTATACATGCTGCTGTGGTAAGGAAGAGAAAGGCCACGAGCTTTGGCCCAGGCAGGAGGGAGGGGGCGACCCTGAGCCACATCTATTGGTCTTGCCATTCCCCAGTCCTCCACCTCAAATCCCCGCAGCCCCGGAAGTACAAAGGGGACAGGGCTTAAGTCCGTTTCCGGTCTCCGGGCGGTGCCACCCCTCCCCTCGCGTGCCGCCCGTCCCCAGCTGTCCCGGCTCTGCTAGTGTGGCGACCGCGCGCGGGCAGAGTTCTAGTAGCCCGGCTGGCAGCGCGGACCCAGGTGAGGCTCCCGAGCGCTGGGACCACGACTGTGCTCAAGGCTGCCAGTTTCTGAGTCCGCAGGTGCACACGACTCGCCGGTCACGGGCCGGAGCACACGCTGGTGTCGCGACTTGTTTGAGCCTGGAGGCTACTGCAAGCCTCTGCCCGCCGCCGCCGGCCACCCCTGCCAAGTGGGGCAGAAACTGCGAGCCGCCTGAGAGCCGCCCCCTACCGCCACTGGGGTCCAGGGTCCAGTCCGCGAGGCAGGGGCCGTCCCCCTCCCAGCCACCCCGACGCGAGCCTTAGGAGCGATGCCGCTGACCTTCCAAGACGTGGCCGTGTACTTCTCTCGGGCGGAGCGGAGGCAGCTGGGCCCCAGGCAGCGTGCCTTGTACCGGGATGTGATGCTGGAGAACTACGGGAACGTGGCCTCGCTGGGTGAGGGCCTCGCGGCACCAGACTAACAACGGGGATTCCCAGCAGCTTCGGGGTTGCCAGGCCCTTTGGATCCCAAAGAAGAGGGGTCTTACCCTCTCTCCGAACAGCTCGATTTCTGCCAAAGGAGTGTCCCGTAGGAGATGCGCCGTGGTGCCCAATGATAGGGATGTAGCTGCCTGTCACGCATGGCCCTACCATGCCCATTTCCCCATAGAGGAGAGGAGAGCGTTCTCCCTCAGTATCCCATCTCCGCACCCCCAGGAACCCTGACCAAAGCGGGGCGCACAGGGCACTTCCTACCTCATCAGGCCCTAAAGGCCAGCGAGCAGTGTCCTACCCCAGGCCACATCTGCTCACGCGCAGTCTTCACTCTCCACAGGATTCCCTATCCCGAAGCCAGAGCTGATCTCCCAGCTGGAGCAAGGAGAGGAGTTGTGGGTTGTCGACCTTCTAGGAGCTGAAGAGCCAGAAGTCCTGAGAACCTGCAGGACAGGTGAGAGTGGGCGCTCAGTCTTACCCTCAGGCTCCAGGGCTGAGTCTCATTGTGCACTGCTGAGTAGACCAGAGACACCTGCCTTGTAGGAGCTTCCCTTGCTGGTCTGTATACTTTAAAATATACACAGGTTTTCTAATCATATCTTGTTTTCTAGTGATTACTTTTTTTAACAGTAGCAATTGTTTTCCAACCATATCCCCCCATCTTTCTCCCTCCTTCATTTCAGTTAACAGTAATTTCTCTTTCTCTCCCCCTCCTCCCATTCCTCCACTTTCGCTTTACCTCCTCTTTTTTCCTGTGTAGTCTTGCTGTGTTCCCCAGGCTGCTGTCAAACTCCTGGGCTCAAGGGATCCTGCTGCCTCAGCCTCCTGAGCAGCTGGGACTACACTTGTGCTCCACCACACGCAGATCAGTAGTAGTGTGTGGGGTGTGTGTGTGCTAGGGATTGGACCTGGGACCTTTGTTGTTATTGGTATTTCTTTGTTTGTCGAGACAGGGTCTTGTGAAGTAAACTACTCTCTCCTTGATTCAGCAGATTTACATATTGACTCCCAGCTAGTGAGGCTTATTCTATTTTGTTTGCTTTTCTCCTGTCCCCCTCCCTTTTTTGTGTTTATTTGTTGTTGATTGTATTGTCCTTATCCTGTCAAAGCATATAGTAATATTTCATCACTCATTTCCCCATTTTGCTATTGTATTATATCTGCAGTTAAGTGTATCACTTGTTTGTTCTTTAATTAGTTGTTAGTCTTTTTACTAGAAATTTCAGTTGACTTCTAATAGTTTGTTCAGAAGGGCTCTTGTTAATATTATACCTCAAATTTGTGCACACTCAAAATTGGCTGTATGAAGACTTCATCTCTAAAGGTGGGAGATCATTGGTTTATGATATTTCTCTTATAGACATTTACAGTTATAAGACTTTCTCAAAACACAGCCTTATGTGCATTTCCTTTTTTTTCAGTTCTGGGAATTGAACCCAGGACCTTTACGCTGAGTTATAGCCCTATTCATTTTTATTTATTTATTTATTTTGAGACAGGTTCCTGCTAAGTTGCCTAGGCTAGGCTTGAACTTTCAGTTGTCCTGAGTGCTGAGATTATAGGGATATTCTATCATGCCTGGTGCATTTCACAAATTTTAAATACAGTGTATTTTCATTACCATAAAATATTGTTATTATTTGTGCTGGATATTCCCCCAAAGCCTCCTGCAGTTATGGAGGGTGGGCTTTTCAGAGGTGGCCGAATCTAGAGTTTGTGATTGATTCATGGTCCAGGGCTAGGATTGAAGGTGTGAGTGTTACACCCACCCTATGGCAGGTGGCCTCCACACAGTGTAAGGGATAGAAAAGCTTGCCCCTTCTTCCCTCTCTTGTTGCTTTTGCGTCTTCCACTGCCGTGAATGGTTTGGTCCCTGCTGTGTGCCAGCCTGCCTTGGAGCCAGCCAAGTATAGACTGACATCTCCACAAACTGTGAGCTAAATAAACCTTTTCTCCTTTAACTTTGGGTGTTGGATATTTTGTCTCAGCAATAGGAGAAAAGTAAAGCAAATATCATCTAACATTTCTTGTAATTTTGTTGACTCGATTACTTGGACATATTTCCAAATAGTTTGTATTTTCTAATACTTTTATTGTTTATATGTCTCTTAACTTCACTGTGGTAAGGGAACATTCTTTGTATAATTTCATATTTCATATTCTTTTCAAATTTTTTGGCTCTTGGTTTTATGACTCAGGGTCTTTTTTAGGAGGCATGCCACGAGCAAGGAGAATGGACAGGTGTCCTGTTTTTATTAGTATATAATACCTGTTAGTAAAGCTATTTGTTGATGTAGCTCAAGTCTTTCCCAGCCCTTTGCTACTTTTGTCTAGGATTTTTTTTTTTTTTTAGACAGGCTCTTATTATGTAGTATAGGCTGGCCTTGAACTCACCATGTAGCCTAGGCTGGTCTCAAACTCATAGCAGTTCTCCTGCCTCTGCCTCCCAAATGCTAGAATTACAGGTGTGTGCCACCACGCCCAGCTACTTATTTTTTTCATTTGCTAAGAGAAGATATACAGGGTGGTTTCTGGAGTTATCTTTCTTTCCTTAAATGTTTCAGTGTCTGTACCAAGTGTTTTGAAGTTATTTTATTGGGTGCATTCTTCTTTTCCTTCTGTTTTTTTATTATTATTTTTAAAGAATACAAAATGGTAATAAAAACCACAACAGGGGCCAAAGAGATGGCTCAGTGGAATAAGTGCTTCCCTGGCAAGCGCAAGGGCCTGAGTTCAACCCCTGGCTCTGTCAAAAAAAATAAAAAATTAAAAGAAAATAATAAAAATAAAAACCACAACACACTAGAAACAATATAAAATTTCATTAAACAAAGTACTACAAATTCAACAATGGTTGCTTATATTGTATTGTAAAGTAGTTGTTTAGGTTACCAGATATAAACCTGCAAAATTGGCAAAAAAGGTTATAAGAAATTAAAAAGAAAAAATAATAAATAAAAATTTTAAGCATCAATTGCTACTTTCAATAGACCAGCAGAAATCAGCACACAATTATCCAAACTATCCTGCGTATATATGTAGATATATCTTTTTCCCTTCTTTTGTCTTTGTCCTCATCCCACTTTTTCCTTCCTATTGAACAGATTCTTTCCTTTTCACAGTATCTATAACATGTACCTTTCAGATTTTATTTACTCTTTCAGGTTCTCACACTAACGAGACAATATAATGTTTGTACATGTGGGTCTGATTTATTTCACTGACCAATACAGTCTCTAGTTGCAACCATTTACCTATAAAAGCCTTGAATTTATCCTTTTTTTGTAGCTGAGTAGCACTCCATTGTGTAAAAATAGCATATCTTTTATATCCATTCCTCAGTTGATGGACATTTAGGTTGTTTCCAAGATTTAGCTATGACAAATTGCGCTGCTATAAACATGGGTGCACATATATCACTATGATAGGATGTTTTCAGTTCTTTTGGAAAAATCCTAGGAGGGAATATGGAACCTCCAATCTTAGCTTTTCGGGGAATCTCCACAGTGATTTCTTTAATGTTTGTACCAGCCTGCACTCCCACCAACAGTGGAGAAGGGCTCCTTTTCCCCCATAGCCTCTCTAGCATTTGTTACTGGTTGACTTCTTGCTAGCCATTCTTTCTGGTGTAAGATGGAATTTCAGCATTGTTTTAATTTGCCTCTCTTGAATGACCAAAGATATGAGAATTGTCTTAGTCACTTTTCTGTTCTGAGACAAAATACCCAATACCCACGGAGGAAAGGTTTATTTAGTTCACAGTTGTAGAAGTTTCAGAGCCTGATTGACTGACTCCAAGGAAGGGTGGGGTGGCAGAAATGCAATTGCTCGTGGCAGTTCTGGGCATAAGAAAAAAGAAAAAGCAACAAGAGAGGAGCAGGGAGGGTATAAGCCTCTTTCTGTTCCTTACTTTGTGTGGAAGCTACCTGACTTAGGCTAAGCATAGCACTCACACCCTTAGTTCCAGCATTGAACTACAAATCCATCACAAACTCTAGATTCAGCTTCCAAGCCCCATCTAAAAGTACATGAGGCTTTGGGGGGACACCTAGACACAAATTATAAGAAGAATCATCAGAAATTAAGAGGATTAAAAGAAATGAAGCAGATCTCTATAACACATTTTATTTTGCTTTGTTTTTTATCGGATACAAATACAGCAACTCTACCTTTTCAATCTTCTTTTTCTTTGGGGAGAAGGGCATTAGTGATTGAACACAAGGGCCTTCACTGAGCCACAGCCCCAGTTTTTTGTTTTTTTTTTAAATCATTTTTTATTTGGAGACTGAGGCTTGCTAAGCTAGAAGCTGCCCAAGGTGGGGTCAAATCTGTGATCTTTCTTCTTAGCCTACCAGACTGCCAGGATTATAGGTATGCACCACCACAGCTGCCTCTAACTGTGGTTTCTTACTGTTCGCATGAGGCATCTTTTTACTCATTTAACTTCAACCAGTCTTTACACTTCTGATGACTCTCTTCCAGGTAGCATACAAACAGGTCTTGTTATCTATCCCTTCTAACAACCCTTGTCTTTTATAGTATTTAGTCTATTGAATGTAATTTTTTTTTTTTACATTTATTGTGTGTGTGTGTGTGTGTGTGTGTGTGTGGCCAGCTCAGCCCACCAGGGGGCGGGGCTGGCTGGCATGTGGTGCTGGGGGATTGAACCGCGGTCCCACTTCTTTGCCAAGCTTGTTCCAAGTAGGTGCTTTAGACCACTGAGCCATCTTTCCAGCCCCGAATGTAATTTTTTTTTAATGTATTTAGTACAGAGTCTACAGGGTCTCACTACACAGATCAGACTTGTAGTGATCCTCCTGTTTTCAGCCTCCCAAGTGCTGGGATTACAGGTGCGCACCACCACGCCCAGTCTCAGTTGCCAGTCCCAATTGCTGTCTCAGCATGCCCCGGGCGTGGGGTTGGCACAACAGGCCCGGGGATCGAACCCCCAGCCCCTGCACCTGCTTACACGTGCTTTAATCCGCTGAGCTATTTGGCCGGTCCTTTTTTCTTCCTTATAATGCTGTCCTTGGGGAACAATTCCATACCTCACAGATGAGGACAGGGAAATGTCCATCCCAGCTGTCACAGCCAGCCTGTTCTACCTGTGTGGGGGAATCCAGAGCATGGATTTACTGAGAGACAGATCTCTTCTCGCCCCAAATGCAGCACGGCTAAAGGACTGTTTTCCTGCTGTTCCTATACCCAACAGGTCATATGAATATTTTAACAAAAAATTAGAAGGCATTCTGAAAATGCAGTTTGAAGAGGCTACAAGCTTCAAAACAAGAGTCTGATATGGCACGAATGAAGAGACCAGAAAAATTTGAAAACTATGACTAATATGTTGAAGGCTGTGATGGAGACAACAGGCAGGCCAGGTGGTACATGGCCATAACCCCAGCACTCTGGGAAGCTGAGGCAGAAGGATCATGAGTTTGAGCCCAGCCTGGG